TGGTAACCCCTATTTATACAGGTGCGCATCCTTCGCGTAACTAAGAGGAATTGTAAGGGAAAATATAAGTATCGACGTGTTTGACCGTAACATAAGTAGGAAAAACATAAGTACGAACGTGTTTGACCCTAAAGAACTGCCAAGGAAATCCCATAAAACATGTGTAAATCTGAGGTGGTGTGAACGGATAATTAGAACATAATTGTAAATCAAATGACCGATGACCGTGCATGATGATGCATAAAATGTAAAAATAAACCCGAACACCAGATAAGAAAAGCACGCCATAATCCCCTAATCGTATCATGAAATATCAATGAAATATACGTAATACATACTCCGTTGTAGTAATGTCCGTCAACTAGAAATAATACTAAGTAGAGGAATATACGATATTATCAAGAAGAATATACATATGAAACGAATTAGAAAATTCAACACTTCCCCTCATTATCTACAGCCCAAAAGTCCCATTAACCGTTCGTGTGCCGGTTTCGCTAAGATTTTTGTGCAGATGTCGGCAAGGTTATCGGAGGAGGCAACCGTCAGGAGCGTGAACGAGTCATTATCGATTTCTTCCCGTATTTTCTGGTAGTGTATATCGATGTGTTTCGTTCGGTCGTTTAGCTGATGGTTTCTCGCGAGAAAATTTGCAGCGGTATTATCTGCATGTAAAGCGATCGGTAAGTCGAGACGGATATCTTTGAGACCCTTTCGGAACCATTGGATTTGTCTTGCGGCAAGTGACATTACGACGTATTCGGCTTCAGTTGTTGATAGTGCGACCGAGGTTTGCTTCTTCGAGCGCCACGAGATGCATGCACCATTGAGAAGTACAATGTATCCCGAAAAAGAACGGCGGGTATCGAGGCAAGCGGCGAAGTCAGCGTCAATGTAGGTATCGATAGCGTTTGTCGCATTGTAAGGGTAGAAGAGTCCGATGTGTTTTGTTCCGTTAACATATCGAAGGACGTGTTTAGCGGCCTTGAGGTGCTGTTCGGTAGGGCAAGCAGAAAATTGTGAGAGGAAAGAAATGGTGTACGCTAGATCGGGTCTTGTGCCAGTAGTTAGGTACATAAGTGATCCTATCATCGATTGGTATTTGGAGGGGTCTGGAATGCGTGTGTCTTCGGTCCCTGTCGTAAGTTGAATGCCTTTCGGTAAGGGTGTAGAAACGCTGTTAGAGTTTTCCATTGAGAATCGTTTGAGGACTGACTTGATGTATTGCTCTTGGGTAAGATGTAGCCCGTCTGGTGCGTATGCGATGTGCAAGCCGAGTAAGAATGTGGCTTCCCCTAAGTCTGTAATCTCGAATGCCGCTTTCAGGTCTCCTATTAGAGATGTAGCTTCTGGGGTATCGGCTGCGTGAATAGCGATGTCGTCAACGTAAATCGAAACGTAGATGTCGTATTTATCGTGAACAAACATGCATGGGTCGAGGGATGATGTCGTAAATCCTCTGGAGGTCAAGAATCTGGCAAAGAGAGCATACCATTCGTTTGCAGATTGCTTAAGTCCATAGAGACATCGGTTAAGTTTCCATACTTTGCCTTCGTCACCGAACCCAGGTAACAGTCGCATGTAAACTTCTTCTTTCAATTCGCCATAGAGGAAAGCGGATTTAACATCGAATTGTCGCGGTCGCCATTTGTTTTTAGCGCATATCGCGAGGAGGAAGCGGAGAGATTCGTAACGTATGACAGGAGCAAAGGTTTCTTCGAAGTCGTAGCCGGGGATTTGTCCAAACCCTTTAGCGACGGCTCTTGCTCGATACCTTTCTAGGGTGCCATTAGCGTTTCTTTTAACTCTATAAACCCACTTACTTTCGATTATTTTCCGTCCAATCGGTTTATCGACAACATCAAAGGTTCCACTCTTCTCGAGCACCAGAATTTCATAGTCCACAGCCGAGGTCCACTGGTCACGGTAGGGGCTGTTTATAGCTTGGTGATAAGTGGTTGGGTCCTCGTCCGGCATTTCGGTAGCATTTCTGCCATATCGAACTGGTGGGCGTGATACTTGTCCAGACCGAGTCCTGATTCCTTCTTCGGGTTTCAGTGGTTGATCCTGTTCATGGGCAGGTAGTTCCGGAGTTAGAGAAGGAGGTGCGGGATTCTCGTAGTCTTCTGGATGTTCTGGTGGTGGAGGTGGATGTACTTCAACGTCTGGTAGTGGTAAAGGTTGGTCGTCATCTTCTATTTCCTGAGGCTTGTCGCGAGGTTGCGAGGCTGTCGAGAAAGAGGGAAGCGTAACGTTGCAAAGGTCTCCGATGTATGGGTCGGTTGTCTTGGATCCGACGGTCCAGTTGGGTCAAGGGGTATAATTGTCTTGGTTGTCCAATGGATTTGTCTTGTTTCGGAGATTCGATGTTGCGATGGTATATATATCCGGTATATTTTGTCGGAGGAGGTATAACCGACAAGATATCCTTCTAAGGCCCGGGGCTGTAGCTTCGTTCCCGGTTTTCTTTTCTCCTCTGGTATATGGACGTAGCATTTGGTCCCGTATGGGCGCAAGTGGTTGATCAACGGCTTTGTTTTGTAGATAGCTTCATAGGGCGTTGAGTTTCCTATAGCTTGGTTAGGGAGTCTGTTCCTAAGGTAGACGGCGGTGGAGACTGCTTCGGCCCAAAGGCTAAGGGTAAGTCCAGTCAACATAGAGCGTGTCGATGTGATGATGGTATGGTGTACCGTTCGGCAACACCATTAGATTCGTGTGAGTAAGGAGGGGTCTTATCATGCACAATTCCATGCTTCTGAAAAAGGGTAAGCATCTTGTCATTGATATACTCGCCTCCGTTATCGGTACGGAATCTTTTGATGGTGGTGGAATCCTGGGTTGTTCTTTCGTTGATGAACTGTTCGAACACTTTTACCGTGTCGGACTTCGCTTTTATGGTGTAGATCCATGCATAGCGTGTATTGTCATCGATGAAGGTGACATAGTACCAGGAGTTGCCAAAGGAGGGTTTCGAGAATCGTCCGCTAAGGTCGGAGTGAATTAACTCGAAAGGTGTGTCACATCGTTTCTCAGTTGATTTGGGTTTTGACTTAGTTGACTTGGAGGTGATGCAGGTTTCGCATTGCCAGTCTTTTGGAACGGTAGGAATAGCGGGAGAGTCGGAGTAGTGGTCAGCTTTGAGGTACTGCGGCGATGGATGTCCAAGGGCTTCATGCCACTCTTTGTAAGTCATCTTGTTCGCCCTCTCTTTTTCCTCTTGCACAACATAGTCCTGTCTGTCAAGCTTTCCCCATAGAACCTCTGTTTTATTTTCCCTAAAAACATACATATCCTTCCCAGAACTCCGCAAAGAAAAACCTTTTCCCAAAGAAACGATAGCGCGCCACGACAACAAGTTGCTAGAACCCAACTTAGGAACCCAAAGAACCCGTTGTAGAAAGACAGAGTCTGTCCGGCCATTAGATGTTTTGGCCTTAAGCTCCACTGTTCCACGGCCGCATGATTCTATTACCGAATCATCGCCTAACTTAATGGTGCCTTGTGCAGGTTCGAAGTTTATAAGAAGGTCTAGGTTCGAAGTCATGTGTGAGCTTGCGCCTGTATCGATAACCCATTGATTTGGGTAAGGGGTCTTTTGCGTAGGAGGTGAGGAGGTAGAGGTACTGACCGGTTTGGATGTCTCTTCCTTTCCGATCTTAGCCGAGTGTCCGGCTCTGTCCTTCTTTCGCTTCTCGTTGTCGGCCTTGAGCTTGTTACACTCATTCCAGGAGTGGCCTTCACTGAGAGCACAGGGGTAGTGCTTTTTGCAGTAGGAGCATTCCTTTGTTTCGGCCGGTTGCCGGCGGATCGTATCGCGAGCCTTTCCCTTTCCTTTGACATCAGCGCTTTTATACGCCTTATCGTTCTCAGAATTAACCGAGGATTTTAAGTCCAACAGCTTGTTGTAGACATGATTGTAGGTAAGGTCCTCCTTGGTTTGGAGGTTGTCGACGATGTTGCTCATCGACTGAGGCAGGGAACAGAGGAGAACAGCGGCTTTGGCTTCGGTTGACTCAAATACCGATTTAAAAACAAACAGTAGAGCGTATCGGTCGGTTTCCGAAGCGTTTGAGCAACGATGTTGCATGCGATTCCATAGGGTATCGTACTTGTTGATGTGGTCCGGCATAGGTTCGGACGTATCGTACTTGGAATCGAGGACCGCATTTAGCTGGTCAAAGAAGGAGGTTGTATTTTCACGAGCGAACTTATCTTCGAAGGCAGTCCAGATGGCGGGTGGTGTCTTGTGGGTGGCCAGCAAGACAAGCCATTTTGGATCGATCGTTTCGAGGAAGTAGGCCGAGGCCCACTGGTAACGATCCTGGAACTGTTCACGAGCATCACCATCATTATCCGTATCTTCCTCATCCGGTATTGTTTCTACTCCTGTTATTATCTCCCAACAATTAAATAAGGTGAGAACATATTCTGAGATATTACGCCAAGTTCTGTAGTTTTCTGGGCCCGTGAGCTTTGGGATTGAGCTCAGTTTGTAGGAGGGTGCCCAGGGGCATCTGGTATTGGCGGGATTTGGCGGCGGCGGGTTTGCAGGGCCTGCAGGATCCATTGGTGGAGGTGGAGGCGGTGCGCCCGGCGGTGACGCAGGTGGTAGTGGAGGAGTTGGAGGTACCGGAGGAGACGGAGGAGGAGGTAGAGGAGGAGTTGGAGGTAACGGAGGTGTTTGTTCCTCCTCTTGCTCGAGTTCTTCTTCGAATTCTTCGTTTTCTTCGTGAGTTGGAGATTGGTTTCCGGCAGATTCACCGGAATTTGACATGCAATAGGTTATTAACTCCTGTTAAAAGTGTTAACCTATGTTCAAAATCTTCGATCAATGTTATTAACCACCACCCCCGTTGGCCAGCACTTCTATACTAGTGAAAGCCTGTTTGCAGAACACCCCGGTTGCACCTGGGGCCCACTGAGTTTCGCCAGCAGGGTCTGATTCAGGCTCCCAAAAGAATGAGAAGTACCGGAAGGGTGATGGAGGACCGTGTGAGCGGTGCCTAAGGAAAGAAGCGGATTAGGAGGGAACGGGTGGCAGATTCTGCTTTTAAGCGAGGGTGAATGCCAAGAACGTTTCGCCGAGAAAGTTTCGTGCCGAGCGATAAAGTTTCGTTTCGAAGGAAGTTTCAGTTTGATCAATGTTTTCGACTCAAATGAATTTGTTTCGTTTCGAAGGTAGAAATGTTTCCCATCGGGTGAAATGTTTCGATCGTCGCAGGAAGCGTGTAGGTGTAAGTCGTATAGTTATAGAGGCACCGGGCTCATAACCTGTTCAAATGTGTGGGTACGGCACTATCTTAATAACTTTGTACGAAAATACGACACAGTAGTAAGAGTATACTGCGGGCACGCTAAGCGAGGAGGAATTTTGTATGAAGATAGATTGGTAGTAGTTCTTGTCCTTAATTCTCTTAAGCGAGATGGGTGGTAACCCATATTTATACAGGTGCGCATCCTTCGCGTAACTAAGAGGAATTATAAGGGAAAATATAAGTATCGACGTGTTTGACCGTAACATAAGTAGGAAAAACATAAGTGCGAACGTGTTTGACCCTAAAGAACTGCCAAGGAAATCCCATAAAACATGCGTAAATCTGAGGTAGTGTGAACGGATAATTAGAACATAATTGTAAATCAAATGACCGATGACCGTGCATGATGATGCATAAAATGTAAAAATAAACCCGAACACCAGATAAGAAAAGCACGCCATAATCCCCTAATCGTATCATGAAATATCAATGAAATATACGTAATACATACTCCGCTGTAGTAATGTCCGTGAACTAGAAATAATACTAAGTAGAGGAATATACGATATTATCAAGAAGAATATACATATGAAACGAATTAGAAAATTCAACAGAATATACGATATTATCAAAAAGAATATACATATGAAACGAATTAGAAAATTCAACAACTCTCACCACCTAAGACAGACCGGACATGGCTGCTCTATCTGTCTAGGATTCTTAACTGTCACCTCGTAGGACCAGTGTTCCCAAACATCCAGTCCATCCATCCTTAGCCTCGGATGGGACGGACGCCAGTTCCTGGAACTCTGCCATGGACAGAGGCCCATTCTGTGGTCTATCCTAACCTCTGCCCGGGATGGCCAGCCAGGCCCTATAGGTGTATTACCTGCAAATAGACCTGCAGCTGATGGCCAAACCCTGCAGATGATGGCGAGGCACTGCAGATGATGGCTGGGCCTTACAGATGACAGTGGGGCCCTGCAAATGATGGCCGGGCTCTGCAGATGACAGCCGGGCCCTGGTGAGGACGGCTGGAAGATACCATTTGTATTAAGACTCCCGGGCCCGGGCATCAACTCCTCTAATGGCAGTCTTTATCAAAGATGGACGTCATGCCCTGTCGCCCTGGTCCACCATGCCCGGAACAGTTAAGAACACTGTGTAGGACCCTGTATGGCCTCTCAGAGGTTGGGAACACTGCTATCAGATATGAAGGCAGGGCTGCCGGATTCTCAGGCAAACCTGCTAGATGGTTGAGGAAACCCTCCACAAATCTGTGTAATGCTATTGAATATCCAGGGAAGGCTATCTAATACCTGAGGCATGCCTACCAATATTCTGATAAAGCTGTCAGATACCCATTTCAAGTTAGGCTTTGGTTTCGAAAATGTGCTTTTCCATAGTTCAGCCAATTTATTAGTAGAAAAGGCCTAGGTCAGTCTGCATATACCCAAGGCAAGATGGACTGATTGCTTGGAATCACTGAATATAACTGATTCTGCTAAAGAAATAAAAGATAAAACAGTTGTGGAAGTAGAGGAAGTACCTTCAGAGGTTGAATCAAGATATTCTCGTGCATGTAACCGGAGCTAGTACTCGGTTAAAGTTAGTTTGTTTTATGTTTTGTTTTAAGTATCGGTTGATACTTAGTTTGTTTTATGTTTTGTTTTAAGTATCAGTTGATACTTAGTTTGTTTTATGTTTTGTTTTAAGTATCTGTTGATACTTGGTTATTTTTATGTTTTGATTGAGTAAGAACATGAGTGAGAATTCATGATCATACTCAAACACATGTACTTAAAAAGACCGCCGTTTTCCACTCTGGAAACGGCAGACTTCGACAGATAGTATTCTAATATACTTGGTTGAACGGTTATCTCTATTCTCCTAGTACACCACCGAAGCCTCCCTTAGCGAGCCCAAACTGTTACTCTCCGGTAGAGAAACACTCAGCTCCTATTGTACACAGCAGCGTGACTAGCGCCCCGGCGTGAACACATTACAGTGCAGCCAATAACGTTCCTTCATCTTCTAACATGCAAATTGACTTTGCATGTTTACCCCGTTTGCTGTGTTCAATACTACACTCCTGTATCCATTCTCTTTCCTGCCTCATTACTCGTTTCATAACATGGCCACCACCTCCAAATCCTGTGACAGCTGCTCGAGCTGCTTCTTTTCTTGAAAGATCAGGTCTCCGGAGTTGCCAAACTAGAAAATGTTGTATCTGAAAATATCGATCAAGATTGTGATTCTCTTTTGGCCGTTGACTCCTCTTTGATAACAGCTTGCGTAGATCCTTTAGGCCTATTACCAGTGATAGAATATAATTCATGTTCCTGATTAGCGGTTTTGTTTTCTCCAATCCCTACCACAATACTAATCACCAAGTATAAAAATAATTCTTACCATCTTGTAGAAATTTAATCTTTATACTTACCGGAACCCGTAGCCATTTAGTTGACCACCAACTAGTAGCATTGTCAAAATCATGCCACTCACTCTCTAGAGCTTCTTTACACTTTTTTTCCCATCGCCAGAGGGTAGACCGTGAAGGTTGTGATCTTCTGTAACGGGGGCTCCCTCAGGTAGATGGTTCCTAAGGATGCGACCGCACCAAACTTCGAATCTCTCGGACACAACTCTTGTAAAGTGTAAA